TTTTGAGTAAAATGCTTTGAAAGTGTATTAGTAATTCATGTAATAATAACTTACTATGTAAAAGAAGTTTATCGATCTCTATGAAATAAATTGCAATAATATTTTTTTTTGGTTTATTGACTTTTATGAGATAAATTGCAATTAGATGACATTACATATGACAATTAATTTTAACATTTTTTTTAAATGAAAAAAACACAAATGATAAATTTATTTAATTTATCTGACTCCTTAGTTTGAAATTTCAGCTTTGCATTCGTCTGGTTGTGTTAGTATTTTTCAGCGATTCCTTCTTAATATCGCTTTAGAAAATAAGATGAAGTCAAGTATTGAGGAATTGAAGAAGAACGGCGAAGGATAGAGGTTGAAGACATAACAATAACAATAATAATAATGCGAACCCTTTGCGACGTTTGCGAAAACGCCGCCGCCATTCTTTTCTGCGCCGCCGATGAGGCTGCTCTCTGCTCTGCTTGTGACCACAAGGTTTCTTCACTTTCAATTCTATTTTTACGCCCATAAATTATCTAATAATACATGAATTGAATAATTGTTTACGCAATCTTATTGAATTAATGAATTTTACTTTACTTTTAAATGAGTTGAAGTAGTGGTTTACTAAATTGTGTTCAAAGGAGCAAATGAGGCCGAAATTTCGCTTAGATATTGTTTCACTTTAATTTTGGTGTTGGATCTTTGAGATTGCTTCAACAACTTTCATCTGCAAAGTAATATCTATGATGTCTGTCCTGCGTGTTGAGGCCTTCAGGGGCAACCTATTTTGGTTTCAATGTTTCATCATATATTGGTCTTTTGTCTCAAGTTAATGCAGTGTGTTACTCATTCATAATTCTTTCTCAGATTTTCATGTTGTTTTTAATTTGCATTTACCATCATTTAGATGGGGCAAGGTTTAGATGTAGTTCTGTAGGGGCTTTTAGTGTCGGTATTTAATTAAAATTGGAGTATCACGTAATCTTTTATTATGCCTATTATCAAAGTAAAATGTTAATTTTATTGGATAACAACATCAAAAGTACATATAAAGCTCTGTCTAAGTTTTGTTTTTATATTCCTTCTTGTTGATGTAATTTATCACTTTCTTTGAGTACTATCGAGTTGATGGGTTTCTCTCAACTCTTTCATACATATATTAATCAAATCTGCTACTATTATGTTTCATTGAGTATATCAGCATATTTAAATATAAGTTTAGAAGAGTTTATTTACTGAAAATAAAGAGTTCTATTTTTCTTCTTCCAATAGAGAAACTTCAAAAATATTTCTAAATTTGCATTCACGCCCAATATCTTTTAAGATGGCTTTTACACCATTGGATATTAAATGCGTTTGAGTTATTGTGTGGAATTTTGGCAGCGAAATTGATTCACTTAATCGAAAAAGGTAACATTGGGACACAAGAGTTGGAATTGGAACTCACTTGAAACTAGTAATAAGTAGTTAAGTACTCAAACGAAGTGGTATTTTGCACCAGCCATTTGCACATACTTCGTTTGCTATTTTTTTCATGTTGAGGAAAGCATCCTGCCTGTGAATTTCATATTTTCGACTGGATAGTGTAATAATTACCATGACCCACTTATTTATGCCTTTTATAATTGTTTAACAACATTCGTATCTCATTTAATGGAAGTACCATACATGTGCGTTATATTTTTTCTGACAGCATCATGTTTGTGATTTGCATTTGAGCTGCAGATCCATATGTGTAACAAACTTGCTAGTAGACACGTTCGGGTTGGCCTTGCTGATCCCACTGATGTTCCCCGCTGTGACATATGCGAAAATGCACCTGGTACTGAAGGGTATTCATATCTTTTTCTGCAAGATAGTGCATTCTAAACTATACCGTAGTTGAATCTTTCTGCCTTGTCACGGAAATTTGTATGTGTAGCTTTCTTTTACTGTGAGATAGATGGTAGTTCGCTGTGTCTACAATGTGATATGATTGTGCATGTTGGTGGTAAAAGAACTCATGAAAGATATCTTGTATTGAGACAGAGAGTTGAGGTATGTTTTAGGCTGCATAGAAGTATTAAGCTTTCTAGCATCTAAATAGATATTTTAAAGTGAATTCCACCTTTTTTGGCCTTTACCTTGACAGTTTCCGGGTGATAAACCTGTGCAAATGGAAGAACTAGGGCTGCAACCACTGGATCAAAATGAATTAAGCAAGGATGAAAATCAGTCACTCAAGCTAAAAACAAGAGATTGTCAGCAGAATCAGAGTGTTTCGCCGGTTCCAAGGCAAGAAAATAATATTGATGGTCATGGAAAAATCGATAAAAAATTAATTGATCTTAATACTAGGCCACTGCGGTTAAATGGACCAGCACCAAACAACCAGGTAATTGTTTTTTCATTTTCCATATTGAGTTGAGTTCTTTGATTAAGGGTATGTTTGGATAAGCTTTTCAATTCTAGGAAAGAAAAACATAAAGAAAAATTGAAATAAGTTTTTCATTAGTTAAAACTAGCTTATGTATGAGTTAAAATTAAAATTTTGGAGAAATTAATGGAAGATAACTTCTACATAAGCTAATTTTAGCTTATAAAAAAACTTATTTTATTTTTTCTTTCTTATTTTTCTTTTCTAAAAATGTTTCAGAAGAAGTTTACCTCAACAGGTCCTAAGGGCTGTTTTGTAATTTGCACGTTATAACCCTTAAATTTAATTGGTTTTCTTAACCGCGCAAAATTTTTGACACTTGATTTAGTTGAATTAACACATAATCTATTTTTTAAGGAACAAGGTATGGAAATTTTAAGAGGCAATCCAATAGAGTCCTTCAAACAAGAGGCTGAGAAGTAATAAAGGTACAACATATAGGGTGGGTTGAGGCTACAGAAATATTATGTTTACTGGATTTTCTTTTACATGGTTGACCTTGTTTCCGTGAATTTTGTTTAGTCTGGTTAAAGTTCGAATTGTTTGGCTGCAGACCAAATGAATGAGGGAAAAATAGTTGCTTTCAAATGGATGAGCTGCATAAACAAGATCACTACTGCTTAGGGTATATAACATAATTGTTGTCTAGTATATATCATGTTTTCTTGAAGTAACTTATGTTCAATGCATCCTTAACATTTTGGCTTTCTTAAACTTAGTCTGACAGCAGGGGAACTGTTAGTTCGATCAAAAACTTGATATTTTATTACATGTCTATATATATATTTAATTAAACCTTCAAATTGTTGAAATATGCTGACTTCAGTTTCAGCACTTTGTTGAAAGGGACGGAATGCTAATGCATTGGTTGAAGTAAGGACTCTTTATGGCTTTTATTTATTTATAAAAATACACAGGGGATGGAGTTGATTAAAGATGGTGTGGGTGGTTGTATTCATTTGTGAAAACTTTGTGATATTTCATTAGAATGATAAAATGATGATAAATAGAATGGTGTAGTATTTGAACCGAGTCTCAAGGTTTAGATTTTACATTATAAAGTGAGACATTGCACTATAGTCTATAGAGGATAAAACGCAAAGTTAAATGATTCACACTAACAACTAAAGACTATTATTGTTGTAACCAAAATTTTGATGGACAAACAATAAAATTTAAATTTGGTTAATAACAGGAATACCTGCCAAAGTTATTTATTATGGGGAAACTATTAGAAAACAACTCCAATTAAAAGTAAATGGTCTTCAAAATCCTAGTGTGGACTCGAGAGTTAGCAACATGTAAGAGAAAATATTAAGCCCCGTGATATTTACTATGGGAGTGTATTGGATTGTAATTTTAATTTTACAAGATTATTTTAGCATGAAGAATTCTTGTAGATTTTAAATTTTTTTGTAGGAATGTAATAAATTTTAAGAGTTTTTTTAAAAAAGATTTTTATATTTAAGATTTTTTAATTGAAAATGTATAAGATTTTGGAATATTTCATGAGATTCCAAAGGATAACATGACTAAAAAAAACAATGCAATTAATGAAAAAGATAACAAAAGTATAAGATTCGAATGAAGAAAACTATATTTATATAATCTTTTAATAGATAATTGATTATAGTTTCATATTTTTTTAAGTAACATTTCTTTATATATAACTTTTTTATATTGGCATTTTCTAGTTCATGTTGTTATGTTTGAACAATAAACTCAAAAATACTATTCATTAATTGGTAATTGTTATAAAAGAAAGTAAAATAGAGAGAATAAAGAAGACAATATGAGATGGTGTATTATCTTTGAGAGTGGACTAACTTATTTATAAGTACATGTGGTAACGGAACAATTACACAATCAATGGAATAATACATAACAAAAATATAAATGGTAATGATTGA